GTTTCTTACAGACTAAGGAATTATACTTACCTCTTGGACACTGCTATAAACCTATAAAGGATCCCTGTAGCCGTGTCGTTGTTATAGTACTGCTGTTAAGAAGGCTACAGTACTGTAACAGTATGTACAATAGATATTGCTATAGATCAATTGATTATAAATTGGTATTTTATTTACTCTTTCTCATTAAGATTTTCATCTTCTGAATACAAGTCTACATCTTCATCTTCACTCTCATCATTTATTCTAACCTCTACTATTTCCTAATAGTTTCTCATTTTATTTAAATATTTTTTCCAGTATGAAATAACTATCTCTGGTTTTATCTTTTTCTGAAAGGAACTAAGTAAGACATTCTGAAGAGAAAGAATATCTGGCTGCTTTCACTCTTCTGCAACTTTATTTTTTACAATTTCCATACTATCTCGATCATCTGTAGCTCACAATAATATGGGGATGTAAAAAGAAGATGATGACCAAACTTCTTTGCAATAGTAATAGTAGCAAAAAGGATAGATTTTTTCTCTTTTTTTGTCAATTTATATAGTTCTGCTTTTGTCATACTAAAGTTAAAATTAATTTTGTGGGATTTTAGTCATTTCTTTATTGCAGATTTATTCCAATTAGAAGTTGGCACTGCTTCAGAATGACATTTGTAGTATCTTGTCCTATTTATATGAATAACATATGATCCATAATTATTGCAAAGATTTTCACAAAGATTCTCAAAAATTTTTTTAAATTCTTCAGCATTAAAATTCCCATGATAATCCACTGTATTTGGAACTATACCAGCTATTTTTACCTCATTCAGGACTGTCTCCTATGCATTTGTATTTTTTTTTTTTTTTTTCTTAGTAGATGGCTTTGCAGTAGGGTCCCAAATAAGAAAAGATTTATGAACAAACTCTTTTTTTACTTTATTACTATTTCTATTATGAAAAATGATGATAGCTCCAAATATAACTAACATATGACCTCTTCCTTTTTCATACACCACACCATCCTTCAGAACTCAGATAAAATTGTGATTATGGTGCATATGGCAATACAATTTATTAAGGAAAACTTCTAGAAGATTTGGTATATTATTTTGTCCTTGAATATTTTCAAATCACCAACAGAGATATTATGCCTAATACAAAATATTTTGAAGAGCCTTATGAAGAATATTTCATCATTCTTCTTTGCTATAATGATAACTAAGCTTTTCCTAGTGATGTGCTAATTGTGCCTTTAAAATTACAAAGCCTAATTCGAATAATTCAAAGTCTAGAGCTTAAAGGGAAAGAAAAAGACTATCTTTATTTGCAGAGAGAACTAAATTATGAACTGCATTCACATATTTTGCTTGAAAATCTTTAGGAGTTCATTGACCTTGTTTTAATGATGTAACCTTCTTAGTTTTATTAAATTTAGCAATAATATGGTCAACAGTTGCTTTACTAACTCCTATTGTCAAGAAAACTTCTTTACAAAGGTTAGTGGCTTAATTTGATAGCATATTGATCATTTTTTCTTTAAAATAACTATGGATGGATAGGATCATCTTTTTTTTATTAATGGTTAGGATGATTGGAGTATAGTTGATTTGGTCTATAGTAAATTGATCGATTAAGGTGATGTAATATAGAGTTAAGACTTTTACAGAATTCATGATGTATTTATAGTGTATATATATATATCTATATATGTTACATGATTACTGCACTTGCATTCATCCTTTCAGCTTATACTATTTCATCTAAATTCGTTAACTAAAAAAAGTTGTATGTTAATAAATAAATAAAATTATGAATGACCTTTGACTACTAACACAGCAGTTCTATAATTTATAATTTGGAGGCATAAATTCGATTATATATATTTAGGTTCAATGCATTATATATTTTTAATAACTGTGCTCTATACATTCAAGATAAAATATTCAAGGTAAATTAGTAATAGTATGTTAAAAAAATAACAAGTTTGTTTATAAAACAAATTTGCAATTATTTATTTTTCATCATTTTAATAACATTTTTTTTTATTTCAGCTTATAAACTATACTAATATAATATACTCTTCTGGATATAAATTTAAAGCATTGTAAATAATCAATTATTTCTTATAAAATATGAATAGCAAATTTAATAAATATCATTAATTAAATTAAAATATGACTAAAACAGATTTTAATACTATAAAATCTTTTCTTGATACTCTAAGTAAATTTATTCATCTAGTTTTTGTCATTCTAAAAAGAGTAAAATAATTAAATTTGGCCTGATGGATCATTCACAATAGCTCCTTAAACTATAGGTAAGATTTATTACAATGATCTCTAAACTTTGCAAATCATTTAGACTGTTTAATAAAAACAGTATAGAAATTGAACAATCTTTGAGAGGCTATTATAAACTATCCATTAGGCCAAATTTAATTATACTACCATCTTTAGGACTGCAAAACTCAGGTAAATAACATTTATTAAAATGATACAGGAGGTTTATATACTAACAAAAACCTCTTTTAGACTGATTTAAATTTTTTAATCATGTGACTATTAATTTTTTGGCTTTGTATTTTCTGTTTGTACGAGTTTACTAGAATACTTTAGGTATGAAAATTTAAATTTAACCTACTTTTATAATAGTTTTTGACTTTATATTACTAAAAATGATTAATTTTATTAAAAAGATTATATTTTATTGTTAAAACCTTTGATAAAGTAACTGTTATTGATGTTATTTCTGATAATTAAGGAAATTGTTGGTCATATTTCTGTACATATAAATCACTTTTTTATATAAGCAATTAAGAGAATTACTATTTACATTTTCTCTTATGATGCTATGCTATATGCTTGCGTAGTAGCATCACATGATGCTGTTTTTTGACCCACTTTACATAGTAACAAATAAAAATATTACACATATTATTAATTTTTTAACTTTTAATAGGGCAACTTTGAGTGAATGGTTCTCATTAATGAAAAAACATAATGACTTATAGTTTTTTTTATTTAAAAGCTTAAATAGTAAGGATTATTATCAATAAATTTAATAGGTGCTTATTAATAAAAATTTAGATCTATGTTATTTTAAATCAAATGTATCATACTCATGTACCATGCTTAATGAGACGATCAATATAAATATAATGAAAAAATAACATATAAGAATAGGTTTGATATATCTAAACAGTATTAATACTAATACTTATATATATTACTAAAATATTATAAGTATTAGATTACAGTTTCTTTCATGAAAATAATATAACTATGTTGAGAATCAGCTGAAAAATAGGAAGGTGTATAGTGCACTTGCTTAGAAAAAGGTCTGAAAGTAAAATCCTTGCACTTTTATTGCAGCTTAGACTAATTAAAATGTTAAAATTTAGGTCTCTATACTGCTAATACAGCTGTAAAGTCTATAAAGCATTTATCTGCTTTTTACAATTAGAATTTTAGATCCTTGCACTGCTCTTGCAGTTGTGAAGCTTATTAAAATAAGTCCTTGTACTGCCTTTACAGTTGTGAAGCTTATAAAAGAAAATATCACTTTTTTCTTAGTACTGGTAGGTAGAAGATGTAACAAAGCTAGCTCTAACTATCAGGCAGTAATAGTGAACAAAAAAATAAACAATTTCTTTTCTAAAAGTCAATTATTAAATAACCTACCTTATCTATGATATCTACATAAACCTCATAACATTCTTCTAGTCTTAATCAATAATTACTACTTATTTACAATTCATAAAACCAAAATAAAACTATTCATATATTATCCTGATACTAATCTTGGATCAACAAGATACTAAATAAATCTGTTAAACATAAAAGGATGCATATAACATGCATATAATTTGTACTTAAAGTCATCTAATCTCATAATAATAATTACTTCATTACTTTATTAACAAGTTTCTTATTATTATTGCTTGATTAGAAACTTTATTAATATATATATAATGAAGAAATAACATATAGGGATAAAAAAAGAATCAAACTTAGCAAAAACCTATTTTCTTAGAAATCTGTAATTTATTGGTCTTAACTGTTCTCAAATATTATATTACTGCCTTACTATTTCAGTTACCTATAGTTTGTATTTGTATAAGGAATAAGCCTGCCTTCATAGCAGCTATTGTTCTACCAATTCTGATGCTATGTGTAATAAAAACAATCCTGAATACTTGTATTTTTAGTAATTTATTTAATAATAACACTAATGATTCCAAAAATTAGTTGTTTTTTTTCTTATAACAAAAAGAGAGGTTTATCATTTGTAGTTTTTGGTCTAATACATAGATATTTACTTAATAACTTAGCTGGACAATAGTGGTTATCTGAGTATTTAATAAAAATAAATTTCTCATTTGCAAACTAATTAGTTTTAGAGAAATTTATTTGAATTTAGCATATTTTCTTTTTAATTATACTATCCTTATATTTAATTTTAATAATTTACCAAGGCAACACATAGTTCTAAGTTCAATAGCTACCAAGGCTGAATTATAAATACGGAACTTTTTACTAATATATGATGAAAGAAGTTTTATTTAATTATAAATATTTAATTTATAAATTAATTTATATATAATTGATTAAAGAAGTTTTATTCAATTATAAAGATTTAATTTATAGATTAATTTTGTACTTGTCACCTAATAATTTGATTTATATATAATCAATTAAAAAAGTTGGTAGTTTATTATTAATAAAGTGTTTTAGAGCATTAATAAGAAGGAAGTCATATAGTTATTCTGATTCTTTATTTTTTTTATGTTTTTTCAAGAATGCCTAAAAAAGTTTTTTAACTTTATAATCTTTAGTAGAATCTAATAGTTGTACCTTTAAATGCTCTTTTAAAACTGCAGCTAGAACATCTGCACAATTTGAAAAGAAATATTTAAGGTCAAGCCAAACTATAAAAGAAACTAGTGTATCTACTTTAGATGGCAGTGTTTCTAGACCCATAATCTTACAATAATTATTATAAAGACTTCAAGCTTTGTCAAGACACTGATTTCAGCTATATAAAACTGAATTCTTTTGTAAGTTCTGAGCCCTAGTAAGTAACATATTGATTAACCTATTCTTACTACTAGAAACTACCAATTGAGATTCTTCTATGGCTTTATTTTACCTAAATCCTCTTTACAAATATTATTTTGAAGGGTAGCAGTACTAGTACATCTGTTTGATTATATAACAAAGTTGGCCACCATTCTTCAAAGACCTATCTAAGAACAATTACTATTACTACAGTTCTTTCCTTTATAATATACTGCAAAACTTGATAAACTAAAGCCAAGGAGCATACAAAGTTTTTTTCTTTGCATCAACTCTGAGCAAAACAATTTATTTCTTCTAAGTTAAAACAATAAAAGTAACTATTAAGGCAAGGAAGCTTTGTATTCTAATAATCTGCCATTCAGTCTATTGTATAGGGTCTTTATCTTTTTTATATAATTTTGAAAACTAATTGCTTTAGATACTAATTATTTGAGTTTATATACCTGGTTAGCAAGTCTGCTGAATTTAATTCTGATAAGATCCAAAAAATCTTGCCTATTTAAATATTGAACCTGCTCAACTGTTTCTATAGTCTTCTTAAAAAATTCTTTTGCCATATCAGTTTCTTCTCTTTATCATTGTGCTAATAGCTTCTTGATTGTCAATATGTAAATTTATTCAGAAGTTTTCTAGAAGTCTTGCAAAGGATTTTATTGTCAATATTATTGACTTTGTTTCTAGTCTGGTAATCTCTTAGTATGACTTTCTTAAACTTTAATTTCCAAAGGCCTTGTGTTTTTCAAAAATTGCTAACCAGCCTATTGTTGAAATATTGACAAATACCTGTTTAACCTTTGAAGATTTTAGGCTGAATGGGCATTTTGTTTTCTTAAATTTTGAGACAACTATCTGGCATCTTCTCTTACTTGTTATGTTATATAAACTAGTAAGTCCTATTGCTATACTTTTCTTTTGGCTTATCTATTATTGTATAAAATTCTAGACAGCAGACCTTATCATGGGCAAATGCCCTGTTTAATGATTGAATTTTTCCTATTATTGTAGCTAGTTCTTGTACTAAAACCTTTTTTTATTTGCTAATTCATCTAATAACTTTTCTATTTTTGCAATTTTGTTTTCTGAAACTATTATTTATGCTTTTATCATATCTATTAGCAAACCAAAAAACCTCATTTGCATGTTGAAATCTACTGACCCTTTGATGTTTCTCTTATTAAACCACATCTTTCTATATCTAATTTTATTATCTAATCTCTTATTAATATTAGGGTGTCTAATGAAGAGTGTGCTAACCAGAAATCATCTAAATTGTTCATACAATACAAATCTAGTAACCTCCAATGAGCTACAATTGACTTTATAATCTTTGAGAAGACCAACAGCTTGCAATAAACCAAAAAAAAGCATCTGATAATAATACTAATTATCTATTACTCTGAAACTCAAAAATTGTTATACATCTTCTTTTATTATAATATGATGATAACCTTATTTTAGGTTTCATGTAATCACATACTATCCCTTTTCTATTGTCTGAAGTAAGCCATCCAAGCCTTCTAAACAAAGTTTTTTTTCTGATAGAATAAAGTTTAGTCTTCTTAGGTTAATTATCATTCTTTATTTCTTTGAACTCTTTTTAAAAACTAAGAAAACTGAACTTATTTTTAACAAAAATTTGAATCTCTCTTTTTAATTCTCTAAACAACTAATTGATGAGATCTTTAATAGCTAATTTGTCTCTTCTATTACCCATTTCTTTTGCTCTACAGATAGTGAATATTGATCTAAAACTTGTTAACCTGCAAGTATCAAGACAACTTTTAGAAAAAGGGAAACACAATTTGCTAACCAATCCATAACTACTGAAGAAGATCCTATTTTGTGTCTTCAGTAGTTTAATGCCTCCATAGTCTGCATTCTTCTAATGACTGATTCTATTACTAATATATCTACTATCTCTATAGGAATTGTATATTCTTTTAAAGAAAAGGCCTAATTGTAGTCAATTAGTGTTTTTAGGTTTGCAAAGGGTCTTGGCATTTGTAGAAGAATATTTGAAGGTAATATAACCAAGAACTTCAAAATTGAAGCATGTAACTGATTGACATACTGACTAACTATATTCTTCTCTACTATGAAAGGAATAAATCTTTTTTTTCTTTTTTTTATTTCTCTTATATAATTTATTTCCTTCTGAATCAGATGATGTTGATGACAAATAATTCTTACCTATCTTTTATTTATATTAATTATTTTTAGACTTGTCACAATACTTTCATTTACTAAAACATAAGTCTGACTATGTATTGCTAAAAATTGAAATATAATCCTTATACTTCTTCATCATTCTATTGCTACTTCCAACAATTTGCAAAGCAGTTCTCCAACCTTTACTATTAGCTAATCTCAAAGCAACTGCATAGGTTTCTATTTCCTCTCTGATTTTAATAAACTTCTTTATAGAAGAAATTGGCAACCTTTTAATTGCTTTATCTAGGCACTTGTCTATCTTTGCCAAAAAATCATATTCATGTTGGTCACATGGTTTAGACAACTTAATACCTGGTCATGCCTTATCCAACAATTCTTCTTTCTCCAAATTCTTTTGTAAAGCAGAAAAGTTTCTATCTATTTTTTTCTATTTTACTCAAGACAGATATAAAATATTAACTAAAAATGCTTCAACTTTATCTTTTTCTTGGAAATGTGTAGCAAACTTATCTCTAATTCTGTGATCAGCTTCCTGAGAGTCAACCTCTAAATAATTATCTTCTAAGTCAATTATTAGTTTATCTGCAGAGATTCTTTCATTAAAATTATTCACATCTTCTTCTGAAAGTTCTTCTGCTTCAACATTACCCTTTTAAAGTTTTTTAGCCAACTTTTCTCTTCTTTTCTTAAAGTATTCCTGTAAACTATTACTTAATCCTTGTTGCCTTTTGTAAAGAGCCCACATGATTTACATAGATTCTGTAACTCCTTAATAGTTAAATTTGTCCAACTAACAACTAACATACTGCAAGCACTATATGACTATTTGAGTATCAAAGTTTTGAATTTATTTATTTATTTATTTATTCTTTAAATAAGAAAAGTGTTAGCTACAAATGAATGATAAAGCCAGCCCTAACTACTGGGCAAGCAATAGTGAACAGAAAAATAAACAATTTTTCCTTTAAAGGTCAATTCTTAAATAACCCACCTTACTCACAACATCCATGCAAACCCCATAGTGTTTCCCTAGCCTTAATTAATAATTATTACTTATTTATAATTCATAGATAACTAAAATAAAACTATTTATATATTATCACAGTACTAATCTTGTATCAACAAGATACTAAATAAATTTGGTAAACATGAAAGGATGCACATTACATGTATATAATTTGTGCCGAATTCACCCGATCTTGCAATAATGATCACTTCATTACTTTATTAACAAGCTTCTCAGTTTTTAGCATCAAACTATCAAGTTACAAAGTTAATAACTATTTAGGTGAAACTATTTAAGTTTCTCATTGTTTCTTTTCAATTGGATATCATTGGTGTAAATAATTTAAATAAAATACCTTGGCTTTGTTATTATTATGAACATGGGATTAGAATAGAAAAAAATAAGAATAAAGTATTCATTTATCAAAAATTAGGTAAAATAAATAATTCTATTGAAATATATCAAGTTGATTATTGTTGTTATTTAGGAATTGGGGTTGAAATTGATAAGCATAATGCTTTTGAACATTATTTTAAGTCAGCTAAGATAGCATAGCAGGCTTTATTGTAATTGGTTGATTTTTGTAAATTATTTCATCCTAATAAAGTCTTATTAAAGTAATGATTTTCTGTCACAAGAATGGATTTACAATTATGAATATGAATTCACAATGAGTAAAACAAATAAATTTAAAAAGAACATGTTTTGCTTTATAAATAAGCAAAGTAATTCAGTAATCGTAAAGTAATTTAGAAGTTAGATGAGAAGTATTTTATTTTATCTTTATAACTATTAGATCTTCCTCTTAGATTTCAAATACAATTCAACTGCTTTTTTTTCTAGCTTTAGACAATCTAATGATCAATTGTTCAGTATTCAGATTTTAAATAACAACTATGCAATATTTTATTTGTAAGATTAAATATATGCTTTAACAAATTATAACAAAATCTGTCAATTAATGAAAGTCTATAAGAAGTTTGCAAATTTAAATAAGTCATGAGTTTTGTTATTTCAATATAACAATATGTAAGACTGTATTCAAGTTCAATAATGAATAGGATATAGATTATTAAGTTTTTTTTTTCTTAATTCTAAGTTTTGCCTTTATATAATCAGGCAGTATCTGTTAAGAATTTTTAAATTTTTATAAAATATATTTGAGTATAGTAAAGAAAAGTGATAGCAAAAAGATAAGAAGGTATTGCATAGTATTCAAATAATCATTAAAATAGGGATAAATATTGCATATTATTTAAATCAATATTAAAATAAGCAAGAAATATTGCGAATATAATGTAATACTTAAGTTGTTTATAATAATAATGTATGCATGATGGATGATTATAATAAAGTGTATCAATTTTAAATATTTTAAAAATATTTGAATCAATAAAAAAATTTTATTATATAATTGTCTTTATTAAAAAATAAAAATTTACATTATATACAAATAAAATTCTAAAATATACATCCTATAAACCTGAAACAAAACCTTATTATTACATATTAACTAAAATGTTTATTACCTTTTTAACAAATAAATCTATATTAACATGATCTATATTTTCATCTATGCTAATATTAGTATCATCACTAACACTATTCTTAGTTTTAGTAACATTCAATTCCTCTACACTTTTATCTTTTGTCTTTTTATCCAAAGAATTAAGAGTTGTTTAATAAGCTTTACAATTCTTCTTAATTCTATTTGCAAGATAGTTAATATAATATCGGCACTGGCTCTCTAATTTGAACAAGAAGCAATCGAAATAATAAGAATGTTCACAAATTAAAATGCAACCTACCTCACAAGAATCTATGCAATCCTCCAAGTTACAGTATCAATCTTCTTGCAGAGGGCACTTTGTATTCCAAGCTATTAGCAATATTTTTATATCAGCTTGGGTCTGAAATGTTGGAAATTTATACACCATTGGATTTAAATTTTTATCAGATGAAATAACTTTCAATCTATCAAGATTCTTATAGATATCTGCAAAGAATTTTAGTAAAAACAAAGCAGTACATTTTTCAAGATATTTCAACTGTTTTGCTAAATATCTAATATTATGATTTTCAGCAAATACATTTATGAAGAAATTTTTGTCACATATTTGATTAATTATTTGCACCTCTACAATAATCTTATTAGCCATGTTTGATTTCTGTATTTGTCACCAAAGAGAACTGTAAAAATTTCTACAAAATAGTCATTAAAGACATGAAAAGAACCTATAAGGGCTTGTGAAATAGGATGATTTGTATTGACCTAAAAGAAAACATCACTTAAAAATGTCAATGGCAATTTATTGTAATGCTTTCCCTGATATTGATAAAAAATAGGCCAAATATAAAATATTGCTTCAATATATGCTGACCAATTTTTACTACAAAATATAATAGGATAAAAATCTAAAACTAAGAGAACAATATTATCTAACAAATTGATAATATATCTAGCTTCTGGATCCTTTGAATATTCAAATTTTTGTAGTATTATAGAATGAACTTGAGACTAGCCTTGTAACACTATTTCGAAAATTAAATTAATTTTATAAGGTTTTGGCTTTTGTGCCAACACCTTATTAGAACCAAAAACCTCATGAAACAGCAAGTCAAAAAATTAGTAATTTAAAAGAAATACAGTTTTACAACTATTTAAGAATACATGTAAAGGTCCAATCATTGGAACAATGTGAAGAATTTGCTTTAGTATTCTAGAAAAAACTCCTAATTTGAGACAATAGGTAATTTTATGATGTATATAGAGTTGCTCAAGATAATCTATAAGTACTACAAACACCAGTGTTTCCATATAAGCTTTTGCTTCAGAAATGTTTATCAAATTTTTAAGAATGTTTATATAATTGTCAATTGAATGGAGGCCTTCTTCCTTTAAACAACAAGTTTTGTGTTTTCATACTTCTATTTTCCTGATATTGTTCAATTCTATCATCATAGTTGTAAATAAGGAGGTGTTTAACCTATTATTTATGAGTTTCTTGAGATACAAAATTGGAAAAAACATTTTTTTATCCTGTATAACTAAGTCACAAATGAGAAAAAAATATAAATATGCATTTTCTAAAATAATATCAGAAGCAATACTCATTTTATTATGAATAATCTGTTCTTAATTAGTGTTCTTAAATGGAATCAATGTCACTTCAGGTACAGATTTCAGAAATATCATAACAAAATGTACAATGTTATGTGTAGTAGTTGTATTGCTATAATAATATTTATAAAGATTATAAAAATCATCTATATTAAGAACAACCAAGCTTTTGATCTGTTAAAGAACATGCATAATCAGTTAACAAAAAAAAATAAAAAATAAAATAAAAAATAAAAAATTAAATACTTGCATTTTTTGACAAAAATTTTTTTACCATAATTGTATATATTTCTACATATCAAGCCTTCTGTTTTGCAATAGTTTTATGCCTAATTGTTAGATCTGCACTGGCTAAGATCTCTATTACTAACAAAGATGTGCCAGATGCATCTAACAGGAGTCCAATTTCTGCTTTAATTCATTAATAAATTTATTATTAAGGCTAGCTAAAAAATAACAAAAACAACTAATTATTTCTTATTTTTTCATTAATCATGTTGCTTTTAGCTTGGATATTAATTCTAACTACTAATTGATTAAAGAAACTTTTAATAACAGCTCAGTTTCTTCAAACATTTTTTTGAACTTATTCAGATTAAAAATAGGGCTTTCATTATATACATGCTGTCTTGTATACAATACCCAACCATTAATTAATTGATCTTCTGACTTAACAGAACCAATTTTGAAAAATAAAAAAGCTATATAAGAAATTAAGAATTAATTCTAATTAAAAT